AAAAAAAATTTCACTTTTATTAACAACTTTCATGCAAAACAAAATCAAACGAAGAATATTCGGTATGGTAAATTATTATTTTTTTTCAAATTTTTTTTTTACAATTGGAACAAATTTTAGACTCAATGGTAGAAAAAATTATCATTTTAATGGACAAATTCCATAAAAAAGAAGCCAAATGGACACCAAACTTTCAACATTTTCCATGAAAAATTATACCAATCAAACACATTTAATTACAATCAAACACAACATTTAGCTGCTAGGAAGCAAGTCTATCTTTGAGAGACGGAGAGAGTAGTATATAACGTTAAGTCTTATACGGGATAGAGTTATATCTATACGCTTAATATAATATTGAGTGATACATGCATTTTATATATTCGTATCATTCATAAAGATATGTATGGCCATGGGTAAAAGTTCATTTAATTTTTCTCGGGATAGAAAATTTACACTATGATTATTGATTATCAACATAAAATAAGAATTGGTTATTATTACTAGGTAATTAAGAATTAGAGTAGGTTAACAATGATAAATTTGGGATCCTAATGCCTTTCATGACATGGTTAAACTCTAAGAGATGCTCACCTTTTAATTGCTTATTTTAGTTAATAATTAGAAATAATCAATCTCAAACTCTAAATTATTAAACCTGCATATCTCATTAAGATTAGATTTGACTAAAGTTAATAAATAGATAAATAGTCTTCGTGAGAAAAATATTTTATTCACCATTATATTACTTACTGTGATCCGTGCACTTGCGGTATGTCAATGAACAAGTTTTTAAAACTGTTGTCGGGACTATTTAGCCCCTGTTTGGTACACATTAAAATTTTCATTCTCATTCATCTACTCATTTTCAACAACACATTGTTCAATAAAATAATATTTTTCATCACATCAATAACTTTTCCTTCTTTTTTAACCACAAATTCTCCGTCAATCAACTATTCCAAAATACATTCTTCCAAAATAATGTGGATCAAACACACCCTTAATTATTTTGCCTTTAGTTAATATTAGCTTTAACTATTTTTCTTTTTCTTCTCGAGCTAATCTACTCATTTTTACAAAATTTCGGTTTTTGTTATTTATGCGTTGTTTGAAAAGTCTAAACTAGGCAAACTATAATAAATTAACATTGAATAAGGTTCAAGTTCGAATT